CAGAATCAACAAGTCCCTCTAGAGCATTTCGGACAATATGAAAATATCGATGGACTGTTTCGGTGGAGTGTTGGATCTTTCGGCAGCGTGTCTCATTTTGACTGAATGACCAGTGATGAATAAAAATATCATTACTTGCTCGTTGATTGTTATGTGCTCTGAAGGTTCCAATAGTGGCTCGAGATAGGTCATAAGATGCTTGAAGGCGTGCTTTTCAAGCTTTGGGACTTCCAGAAACCGGACATTACTACCTTCAAGGAGTTCTTTCTCGTAAGCGTAGCCTTGCAAAGCTGAAGTCCTGCAAGGTATTTTTGCATAGCGTTGCTCGCGTTTCTGATCTTCCTCTTCAATTACAACAGCAGCAGCCGCGATGAGGATGTCTTCATCATCTGAAGATGATGATTCGGATGAGGTGATGTCGTCAATGGGGTCGGGCAACAAGTCCTCAATTGAAGATGACGAGTATTCGATCGAGGAATTTGATTCCGAGTCGTCGGATTCGGACATCATGATGATTTTGAATGTTGAAGGATGGCGATTGGTACGTACCAAACGCCATCATTCGATTTTTACTTTGAAAAGCCGGTTCTCGCGGTTTACACATTATGAAACGCGAAATCAAAAAATAACAGATTATACAATGCATAATGTATTAATCTTTAATGCATTTACAAAGCCAGTAAGCGATACCAAACGGGGCCTTAGACGAAGCGAAGGTGGCGAACAACAACCAGAACTATCGATCGATCCTAGGTATGGCGAAGGAGGCGCACAAGGAACTCGAGGAGTTCCTTGGAGGCCGTTGTCACCGATCGACAGTGGAACAAGTCGCCGGTTACAATCCTTACCAGCTCAACCCACGAACGATGGAGCCCTTCGATCATCCGAGACCGGGACCATCGAGCCAACGTCGCAAGAGAGCGAGAGACGATGAAATCGACGAGCTAGCCGAGAGTGCGTCGAATCTCCTAGATATGATTCTAGTGGTGAAAAGATTGAAGAAGGACGATTCCGACCCAGATCCGAAAGGCAAGGGGAAGGACAGGGAGCAGTAAGTATCTTACCACCTCCTGTCTCCTCTTTCCATTATCATCCCTCAGTTTTAAGTACTGAAACCCATTTCTCTGCTCCACCTCTAGATGAAAATCCCCCCATTCAACAATCTCCTTCTCTGAACTCTCTCAAGTTAGAAGAAGATGAGCTTTATCAGGTAACCCATCAAAGGTTGTTCAACCAATCATATTTAGGTTCCAATATTCCTTCACCGTGTCCATGTAGGGTTTGCTTGTCGACGAGCGCACACCAACTCCCTTTGAGGCAGAAAGGGAAGTCGTGCGCGCTCGTCGACGAGCGCACGCTACCCGGACACGGTGCTTCCTCTATTTCTGTTTCATCTTCTCAAGTAGAATTAGATGACCTTATCAGACAAAAGACTCATGCAATTTACGAAAAAGTTGAACATCTAACACCAACTTTGAAATTGTTAAAAGAACAATGTGAGACAAGTGAGCAAGTGAGAGCCAGAGAATTTCAACTGAATTGCCAATTACATAAAACATCTTATGATGATGTAATGAATAGATTTTCAGAGCTCAGTGAACAAATTTTTCAAGTTAGAGAAAGAGTTTATGAAACTAAAGAAGAGAAACATCATAAAATATTTCATGAAGAAATAATGAGTACACTGAGTGAATTGAAAGACCAAATAAGTATAATTGAGCATGAACCCAAAGATAAAGGAAAGCAAAAACAAACTACTTCTAGTAATAAAGATGAGAAAATAAATACAACTGAAATACAGAGTTCAGAAGTAACACCAATGTATAGTCTGAATAAGACTCAGGCTTTGGTTATGCAAATCAGAGAACTGCTACATAAAAGACTGGAGGAGACAACATTGACAGCTTCCCAGCAAAACATGATTAAACAAATAACTAATCTAGCCAGTCAACTTGCTACAAGAATTAATGACAGTGAAAAAAGAACTCTAACAAAAATTAGCAGTTATGATAAAACTTTTCACGAAACAATAAATAAAATGTCTCAAGAGAGAAATGAAGACAAGAAAGCCATCAGAGAAACAAGTGATGCAATAATAAGTGAATTAGCAGAAATAAAAAGTGCAATCAAACAGCTGGATAGTAAAATAGACAAACAATTGAAATTACCAATTAAAGACCCCTACAATAAAATAGAAGAATTATTTAATAAGTTTGAAAAGCACGAAAATCAAATGAATTCCACAATTGATAAATTGAAAGAAGAAGCAAGAGCAACAAAAATCCATGAGGATTTGAATCAACAACAACAGCAATTTGAAAGCAGTATGATGAAATCCTACCACGCATTGCAAGAAAACATAAAAGATAACCACGAATATTTACAAAAAGAATTTCTGAAACAACAAGAAGAACAATTTAAAGCTTTTTCAGACCAACTGTTGAAGAATCAGGAGATATTCAATAATAAGACATTACAACAAAATGCTGAAATACAACAACAGCTGATAAAAATGGATGATAATGCCAACAGTGCCAGATTATCAATCATTCGAGAACTTAAACCTGGAATAATAAGTCAAAATAACAACAATACCATACAAAGAAACTTTACCAGTCCACCGGTAGTACATCAACAAATGGAGAACAACCATGAAAACAATCCAAGAGTAGATCCTTCACTTCGAGGAGAAGCTAGATTCAGACAACACGCAACAAACACAAGAGAAACCACGGTGAACTATGTAGAACCTGCAACTAGGAATAATGAATTGCAAAATTCACCAGTTCCTGAGAGAATTTTTGCAAGAGAGGACACAATTCAACCTACTGAAAGGACCTTTACCAGAGAAAGAACATTCCCAGCACACGAAAGATCATTTTTAAGGGAAGATACTGCTCATACAATCATGTCTGAAAATACACGAGAAGACAAGTTAACCAAAGCTCTAACTAAACTTTGGCCAACAGGCAGAGATTGGAAAAGGTTTAGTGGCGACGGAGAATATAATCATAATGATTATATTGATTGGTGTGACAGCTTGATCACAGACCTGAAAATGGACCCACTTGTTGTGGTCAGCCACTTGAGTACAGCCTTTACTGGAACAGCAGGACAATGGTACATAGACAAGCGTAAAAGCAAAGGTTCAATGACATGGGATGAGTGGAAAGATGAAATCCATAAGAGGTTTGGTAATAATGTTTGGAGAAACAATATGGAAGATTTATTCTTGAAAGACAAATTTGACGCCAATGTACATGCAGATCCAACAGCATGGTCTTTGAAACAAAAGAAAAGAATTGCAGCTTTTGATCCAGAATCTTCTGAGGAAAGAATTGTAAACAAAATCTTAAACAAAGTTGATGGTGATGTCAGAACTGCAATCAAAAGTCAATTGACCACACCCTATGAATGGGATAATTTCTTACTAATATTCAAGGACATTTATGAGAATACAAGTATAATTAATAAGAGAAAGTACTTGAATAGGCCAAGGAAACCTTTTAGTGAAATTAAAGCTACTTTCAATAGTGATAGAATGCAAGGTCCCTCTAGTACAAAAGTTCAACCAAGTACGTCGGAGAAGAAACCTTTGAGAGCATGCCCAAATTGTGGAAACAAAGATCCAAAACATCAATGGAGAGGATGTAAAGATAAAAAAATTAATATGATTGAAGAGGATGAAGAAGATAGTGATCATATGAATGATGAGTATGAATTTCAAGGCGGAAAATTATCAGATGAATCAACTTCAGATAGTGAAGGAGAAAATATTCATCAGCAACAAGATGTGTGCATGATTGAGACTCTTGAAAGTGATGAGAAAGACATCAACATACTGCAAGCAGAAGCAAATGTACCTCATTCCTGGCAGGATGACATGCAAATGGGAAACACAATTGATGCCAGATTGCTAAAATCCAAACCAGCAGATGGTATGGCACATACACTAGGACACCATACAATGGCTAGAGCATTAGTGAATAATTGCAAAGTACCAATGCTACTAGACAGTGGAGCATCATGCTCAATTGTAGGAAAACATTTTTTGTCTGAAATAATACCAGACTGGCAAG